GGGGGGGGGTCACAGGGACATGCCCCCCCCTGAATTTGACCATAATTTGATGTTTTGCAATTAGATCTAGATCTAAATCTAGATCTAGACTAGATTCTAGATCTAGACTTAGATCTAGATCTATGTTTGATAGGCTACGGCCTATCTCTCGGATCGGCATTCGTAATCATAATTTAGAACCAGAAGTAATAGTCGGGGTCAAAAACAGATTAGAATCCCCAAAAGGGACCCACATTCTTAAGTAGTACCGTTGAAAGACTACTGTTATTATGAGAAATACGATAAGACCAGAACATACCCTCTCTCCAGTCAAAGTCTTGTATGCCAAGGCAGCACTCAAAACCAGTGTTGTTGTGACTAAAGCCACGGTGCCAGAGCTGAGGTCTGCTAGTCCAAGAGACTCTTGGATGCTCTCAAATGCAGCGTCTGCAAACATCTTGCTGAAGAATTAAGTTGAATAAGACAAGAGCATATACCTTGCTCTTTATTTTACTTTACCACACAGCTAACAAGTCACCGTTCAAACACATCTAATGCTTTCTCTGTCCAAAGGACTTTGAAAAGTATTCATCGGGCGAGCCTTTAGGGCCGGTGCGTGCCTGACAACAAGTTCCTAATGGCGGAAGTTATTGAGCGGAACAGCTGATGTTGAAGAAAATAGTTCCAACTTGTGTTAAAGTAAGAAGAAACTAGACCTAAAAATGTCATTTACGCCCAATTTATCATATTTTAATCGAAACCATAGCTATATGAATGCAATGACTATTTTGAAAAAAGCAAAACCATCCATTACTTGAAATTGTATTCATGCACCATCCAATCGGCCGATATGACGTCACTATTTTCGCTTTTGCAGTACTGTCTCGTATTCGACGTGTTCGGTTTTTAGTAGTTCTCCACCACTATAAGATTATGAAAGTGTTGGATATATAATGCATGTACATAATAAAATAAAAATAAAACCAGGCAAAGAAAAACTTCTAAGTTGCCATATCAGTGTCACATAAGACTTCCATATACCCTACATCTCTCCTTTCATCGTTTCTAGGACATCCACAAGAATTTATGGTTAACTACGTGACGGTGATCGAACTCCGCCCCTAGATTAATTTTTAAAATACTTTAACCCCCCCCCCCCCCCCCCCCATAGAATATCAAGGCAAAGAGAGGGGCTGCGTCCCTGCCTCCTTTTGCAAAGGTTCATGTAAACGCACACTCCATATAAACACACGCTATGGAGCCCTCCCGAGCACTGTGCATTTAGGCGGAGACTACTGTAATATCATAAGAAACCTAAGATGGAAAAGCCAAACCTGTGGTGTTCGACACATTCTCATCATGGTCATGATGGGTGGTCTCAACCTCAGAGTCTCCTTGAGACAGCGGTCCAGCAGCTGCATTTCTTTCAGCTTGTCATAGTCAACAGGCTCAAGACCTTCACCACATACCAATCTCTGCTCTTCAATCAGTCTCTTCTGCAAGACAAGAGAGAAGAAAATGTTCCCATGTTAAGGTCATCAAATGTACAAAGTGAAAACAACAACAACAAAATAAAGAGAACACTTTTTGACTGAATTATTTTCAGAATTTTTCATGTAAACGCGAATGAATATTCAGGCACAGTGATTATCTGAGTTTAAAAATAGAGTTACATATTGACTGCTCAGTTTTAGCCTCCGTCATGCATCACTTTTCAAAAGGGCATATGGCAGAGTCTTACTCCCATCCTTCACCAACCAACAGCAAAAAAGTGAAACACCTGAAAGCAATCAGAGCTCGCATAAATTTTCAGAAATGGTTTATTATTCAACTCCTAACGTACAATGTTCCACCAAATGACAATTTTAAGTCCTAGAATCCAAACCTGCAATTCCTTGTCCTTCGCAATAAAAAAGCCCAGCCATGAACTTGTTGTGGAAGATGTATGCTGGCCAGCCATCAAGAGTCCTAGCAACATGCCCGATATTTCATCATCTGTAAGTCCACGTCCAGATCTAGTCACAGATTAAAAGAGAGTTCTGTGAAACTCACACACTGAACTCAAGACTCAACAATAGGAGAAGAATTTCCCATTTTATACAAATTCATTAAAATCAATAAAACAAACTTGTATTTAAATATCCAATAACTTTGAAAAGAAGGTTAATGTTTAAGGGTCACAAAGGTAATTGTATTCATATTGCTTCTTGTTTCCTATGCCCATAAAAGTGAATTTCAAACTTGAGGAACAAAGTTCTCTGCTAAAGACATAATATGATCAGGGTATCCTTACTTATAAGTGGAATCAATCAACGTTTGCAGCATGTCATCATCAGGACTTGGGTCAGCACGGCGCTCTTGGATTGCCTCTCCAAAGATTCTTTTCAGTTCCAAGTTGGCACGATCTCGTTTTCTGAAAAGGATTTGTGAAATAGAATACTTTCTATTTGTGCAATGTGAAGTTTTTCCAAGGTACCAAGGGAATGAGGAAAGGTGTCACCCATGCTGCTTCTTTTTTACTTTAGTCACCGTGTCCCCGCTTCCTTGAAAGGAAACCTTTCCTCTCTGTCTTTATTTTCAAATTTGTCACTCGTTTGTTACTTTTTTGTTTTTCTAGATAGGTGGATCAGCAGTATAACAACCCATAAAACAGGAGGGCCAGTGTACACTCCTTTATGAGACCCCGACAACATCCCCTCCCACATTTAATCTGACAGAACCCACAGGGAACACTGATGAGTGGACCTCTAGAAGCATAAAAGACAGGGCTCCACACAGAAAAGATAGCGAAGACTGCCCAGAACTATGCAAGAAGAATATTCATCTACAGCTTAACCCCTTGCATGCTCTGTGGATGTACCTGGCCTGTAAGACCCCTGTCTTACTGTGCATATCTTTGCTTCTACCCAGTTTTGAATAACAAGAGCTATATCTCTGTATTCTGTGTCCACTTGCCGATGCGATAATGCCTATTTTTATGCTATTAGTCCTGGGATTCGCATGTAGTATCAAAAACAAAGAGACATGGTGTGTTGTGTGTTTTGCGCGAATGACGAAGTCAGTCTGCCTCTCTGAGGTTTTTGCGTGCTGTCTACATTCGCTTCAATAGCTTCGCAAAGGTTGACTAAGCCTATAGATCAGGTTATTGCAGAATTTTATAGAGATGCAGACAGTGATAACAAACATTTCAATTCATCTAAAGAAAGTTTTTGTCATAGATCTAATCTCCGAGATGACAGGGACCTCGAATTCGGAGATGGAATTAAAAAACAACAACCTCACTTTCACCGGCCAAATTCTTCTACAGAGTACATAAACCTAAAAATGAGTAACACCATTGGATTGTATGTTCATTTTTCTTTTATTTGACATATACTTTGCTATATATCTAGTCCTATAGTAAGCGAGCTATAGCCATTCAAAAAGCAGACCATGTCATACACAGCTACAGTGGAAATTTCCTTAGCACAAGCGGTGGATTTGGTTAGCAGTCAAGGGGTTAAGATCCATTTGGAGCAATGGGCCTAAAAAGCTACGTAAACACTCAAAGGACATATTTACTGTGCAGTTATCAGCTGATCAAAGAAGTGGCCAAAATGCATAATAAATGTGAATTAACAAAGTATAAGTGACACCAAGCATAGATACTTTACATATCATTTTCTTTCAAGCCTAACACTTTAATTTCATGACCAGCAATTAGATGCAAACCAAAGAACCTGAACCATCCAAATGACACTTGATAAGCTCACCTGAAACTGGGGAAGGGCAACCATCCTGGGAGCAGCCAAGCCAAGTGAGTGAAACCTCCATCCAAATCAGAATATAGTTGAGCCACATGCTCGTTGAGCCGTGATCGGATTTCTTTGCCTGCAACATATGGGATGAATACAGATATCAAGTGAACAGCAAAAATGAAAACTGTTGGCGTAAGCTAAATTCTAACATTAACTGACTCACTGACTACCGATATGGACACTGCGTCAGTGGGTCTAGACATACGAGAAATGGCAAGCCCATACCCTTTTTGGTTTCAATTTCCCTACTGTTTTTACACTATTCACTAACCTATAATTGGTCTCGGTAGTTGGGGAAAGGGAAGGCACATCATTTAATTCCTTCTTAATTTAGTTGTAGGGTCCCTTGATCTATTAGTGTAGGTTTTGTGATTTTGTAGGTGAGGTGAGATACAAATGGTTTTTACATTCAACACAATTTTTCCAGACTTTTACACTTAGAAATTGTCCACATTTTAATTAAAGAAATGTATGTTTCTGGGGGTTCTCATATTGAACAAGGCATACCAGACGTTCACTTAAGTGACTTTGAATTATACTTTTAAAAAGGGTTTCTTTTAAAGTGCCTTTGAGGCTGCCTCATGCACTTTCACAAGCAGTGGCTTAAGCAATCCTGAGTTTATTTTTGTCCATTTCTCAAATACTCATACAAAAAAATTACTATGCATTGAAAAATCTGGTTTTCAACACAAGGAAACCCACTATAAAAATGATAACTAGCAAAAATTAAAAGTGAATATTCATCAGACAATGAATGTTCTAAAACACCCTTAGAAAGCCAGCAGCTTACGTTAAATTGGGATTCAACCCCTTGCCGTCAGTGACTGAAATAAGAACATGAACTTCATTCCTGTATGGCAAATTCACATTTTGAAGAACATGATATTAATGGACAATAGACAAACGAACGATTAATTTTTAAAGGGTAAACCACAGCTTCTAAAGAAACCATTTTTTTAACTTGAAAATGCTTTTAACAGAATTTTTAGGAAGAGGACAAGAAGAATCTTGACTTTGAAATAAAACAATTGAATGACAATTTAGAAAGGGAACTAGTCTTACTACAACCTAAATTACCTTTGTGGACATATTTAAAATAACAAATCCGTCTAGTCGACGATACAGACTGAACTTGAAGCGTGGAGTTTGCAGCTTAACCAGGAGGTCATGGTTGGAAGATTAAGACAAACAAATTAATTTGTGCCGACAGCAAGCTTTAGAACCTTGCACTGTGCTGAAAGTTGACTACATAATGATCTACTTTGGGTGATCACTTCTAAAGGTGATCTCAGTTTGACAGGCATTATGACTGGTACTGAATACCGCAAAGATTGTTTAGAATGAACATTATAATAAACAAACTACAGACGTAAAAAGCATGTGCTTCACTTCTTCCATAACTGTGAGTCACTGATAGCACAGGTTCATCCACTTACTCACCATGAAGACAATGGCTTGCAGTCAAAATGATAAGTTCTGAAAGGGCTGTGAACAAGTCTGAAACAATGGGAAGGGTAATAATGTATGAATTAATAAAAACTTCTTTCTCCAATGCATGATATTAGCGTACACGCAAACATTCTGAAAGGGAAGATGTCTACAACCCCCCCTCCCCACAGAATAACCATTTTATTATATTTTCCCAAAAGACAAAAGTAAAATACAATGCCACACTTCTTGATAAAGATCTTTAGCAAAAATGTAGGAAAATTTTTAAAAAAACATAAATATCTTTTTGGACATAAACTTCTTGTGCTTAAGGTGCATAAAAAAAACCCAATCGGTGCAACTGGGGAATCCACAATAAAAATGCATATCTCATAGGAGTCCAAGGACTGAAGTTTATTTAAGAGATAACAGTAAAACTGAAAAAGCTATGTCAAAACCTGAACGATTAAGGACAAATTAAACACCAATTCAAAAAAATGGAAAAAAAAAAGTATGTCATAATGTCATAGCTGCACTTCAGGGACTACCAGTGGTACCACTTCATGACCTTTGTTACAAGTAGTGACACTGCTCGCTTTTTTTCCCTCATGTGGCAAAGGAGGCAAGATCCTGCCATGGCAAAAGGCGCTCATCATGCCTTGTAAAGCCAGAGGACCATAATGATGAGCGATGCTCATCACATTTTGTATTCACCACATTGTTTTCATAGAAACTCTTCATAAAACAAATCGCAGATTCAAATTCAGCGATACTCTTTCTGTACAAAGAAATCGTTTGCTTTTAGGACAAATCTATCTATTAAGGTAAAAACTATATTAAATGCAGTAATAAACTTATAGTAACCATCACATTTTCGGTATATATAGTAGTAAGCCTGGCTAAAAGATTAGGAATATAAATCAAACACTTACCATTGGTGCCTTTTGCTCCCCATCTCTTGAAGTAATCAAAAGTTTCTTGTTCAATTATATGCACATGTTCACGGAAGTGGGCAATATTGAGGCCTGTCTTTAGCATCTTCTTTTGCTCAAGGAAAATCTGAAGATGAAAGAAAGGTATGTTCATATGATAGCATTACAGAAAAAAACCCTGAAAGTTACAAGCTATTTGAAATAAGGATTTTGAGTGTAACTGTTCTGTTCCCATAACCAAAATGGTAGCTTAGCACAGCAGCCGCATACTCCCTATTTACCATTAGTATAACAAGTATTTTGCAAGGTTATTAACAACTTCATGGTGGTAATAGCAAGTTTCGCTTTTTTAGAACAAAGTGTACTGAAATCATAATATCCTCAATTGGCGCCAACAGACCAAAATTTTTTGAAGTTTAACAAATGTTCCGGATTAATCTTCACAGAATTTCAATTCGCTGTAACCCGTGACTGATGAAAATGTACTGCATAGCAGCCAACTTTTCACAATTAAAAAAAACCAGACTCTGCCCATGCTGCAGGTCAAGATGGTGGGCATTTGCCAAGTAGACCCCCTTCAAACCCTTATTCACACTTGTCTGCATTCAATAATTCAAGCTATTCACAGTAGACCTACAGTGAAAAAAATCAATTTTGGACAGTAAAGGGGAGGGGCAACTGAATAGCTTAGATCTTGAGACTCACAATAGGATAATAAGTGAAACTGGTACGCCTCATGCTACTATGCAATGTGATAAGCTATCAAAATTAACCAATCTTTGCTCGCCATATGTCATTTTACCAATTGAGAGCCTTAACATGGGTCACAATAGATTCTTCCCTAGGTTCGTTGGCTAAGATTCTGCATTCTCCTTGCTCCCGAGCATCGGGATCTTAGGCGGAGAATACTGTGTAAATAACCCCCTATAACAGAAACTTTCGTTGCTATAACGAAAATATAACTCTCGAAGATTCAAAAACTGTGAACACCGATATTGGCCTTTAATTTCAGTGTGTGTGTGTGTGTGTGTTTGTGTGTGTGCATCCCCCATATCTTGTTTATTTCGTCAAAACAACTGCCTGAGCCAAAAATGCATTACACTGAGTACAAGACGTCAGATCACATCCTTTTGCCAAGAACCACCTTCTTTTGAAAATCTGAGAGGAATGGTCACAGCCACTGTTCCAAGTTGGCCACTGTGTGTAACATTACCGTCCATGCTCAAATACTGCCAATGTTCTCACTTTCTGACATAACAACATCAGTATATCCTTCAGTTAGGACTCAAGTGAGGGTGCATGAGTGTGGGGTTTAGGGTTATCATCATCTTTAAAGTTTCAACCCCCCCACCCGAAAATTCAGTTAGTAGTAACTTGCAGTAACATTAACCCAGCACCAACCAGGGTCTGTTTCCCAAGGGGGTTGCTGTTAAGTGGACACCACAGTACTTGATAAGGTGATTAAAAAAACCCCAAACCCTTCACACACTGTAATTTAACTTCTCTTCTGCTGGCAACAGTGAAGCACGTAAGTGCAAATCAACAGACGCTGGTTAAGTCCGATGTGACGTATTAAGAAAACAAGAAAAATTAAAGAATACGCACAGCTAATATAACAGGTTCTAAGTACTCCTGAGACTTGGGAAAGTCAGGTCAGGATTTACGGCAAGATACCAATATTTAACATCATTAGTGAAAGCAAATGCTGCCAGCTTCAGCTGAGAACAGGAGGATAACATAACTGATGTAACAAACCATGAAACACCAAAGACTATCCCTTTCTGTGTGTGTGTGAGAGTAAGAATGGGTGTAAGTCTCAGCGTCTATCTATGTTTGGGCATTATAATGGGAAATGAGGTTCTTACATGATTGGGCACATCATAAGCAACACCTTTCCCAAAGACAGGTGTGACCAGCCTGCTGTAGACATCTTCTGCATTTAGGTTTTCATTCTTGCTGTTGAACATGAGCGCTGCACTTTCAGAACCAACCAGGTATGTGAAAGTTTTCCCAACCATAGTGAAGCTGAACACAGGTCCATACTGCGTTTGAAAATACGTACAAGAGAAACAAATTGTATTTTTCTTAGATAACAATTGAGAAAAATGCATAATTTTAATTAAAGAGAATGCAACATCATCAACTGTATGTAATGCTAGGACATTTGTCATTGACCTGATTTCGTGTAACAGCTAAAGTCTTCAAAGTAAAAAAATAACAATTTGCCTTCCCAATGATTTATTAGCTGAGACATGTTTTTTTTTTCTGACATAAAAGATACTCCATTCACAGTCAACAAACATATTCTTGGTATATTCCGAACTTGAGCAGAAAAAGAGAAAGATTTCATTTATATATATATATATATACATATATGCACAAAAAAATTAGCCAAAACAGTAAAGGCATCAAAAGAACTAACACAACAATAAGGAATATTTAGCAATTTTCTTCCAGAGTATAGAATTATATATATATATAAAATGTGTCATGAGCATTTATTTTGTCTTTCAAATTCCAAAGTGTTTTACCTTTTCCATCCTTACAATTTCAAGATTGCATGTTCGATATGCATGGTCATAATTAGTTTTTAATCATCTATAGACAAAGAGCTTTTACAATACAAGCTGTAGCTGAAAAGATAGTCTAGATAAAGTTAAAATCTTCACAAAACTAATCATCCTACAACAAGCTTTTATCTTGAAAAAAGATTTTCAAAAATGCTCTTTTACAACCCCCCCCCCAGTTTACAAATAATGATATGTTACCTTTTCATATGCTGCAAGAAGGAACTCAATTGGACTTGAACCAAAACTGACAGCTTGCCCAAGAAAAGGAATAGTAGACGGAATATGAGGAGGAATCTTTCCTTCTACCTGAAAGAGAAAAATCCGGGAAGCTTTGAGCTCCACTTTATCTGTCTAAAACAAGGACTGAAAGATCATTCACAAATATTTATAATTTTGTGAACATGCAAAACAGTAACCATATAAATATGAAGGATAAATTTAATTGATTGATCAATTCCGTTCAATATCAGTTATGAATGCTCTTTGACTGTGTCCATGTATATATTTTTTGGGAAAAAAAAAATCCCCCAAATGTTACATAGAAATAAAAGGAAAAAAAAAAAATGTACACAGAGAGAAATTCTACATGACTCATCCTAATTAATACGAAAGGTAATGCTTTCCCCACCACTGAACTGAAACTATGCTATCGAGCTGTGACCCTATTATAGGAGTCTGAATCTCAAAGTAGGTCTCACGAGCTAAACTTTCAAAGTAGCTCTTTGACAAATTTATCTGTTCCAGAAAGACTTATATCTCCTGATAATTTTGGTACCATTCTTTTCCCTCTCAGTCAATTTTTAAAGAAAGTGGTAGCCGTTTTAATAAAATGAAATAATGCGAAATTCACTAATAGGCTGCAACCCGTTTGACAGATGATAAAACAGTACCAAGAACACCCAACATTTACACATGACTAACAGAGGACAATCACAATAACATAGGTATGGAATCTAATTTTTTTCAAGACTGCAAGATCATTGCAAACTGGTATTTTATTGCCTTAATTAAACATGACAACTGATGATTTGTTGTTATTTACAAAAAACCACAGAATGCTGTCTCGGCCAGTGTTGCATTGGCCCCTGCTGTGAGCGGTACGGCTCTATACTGTATTGCAGAGAGCTCCCGCTGTTGGGGGTCATAATAATAATAAATAGCGTATGTTTAGCCCATACTATATCCCCGCTCGACAGCAAGCTCTGCACTTTACACTATATATATTATTACCCCAGGAGACAACATCACTCACAAACATTCTCGGCTTCCCGGGAAGCATACAGTGCAAGCAGCCGATTAAGCGCTTTACACTAACAAACTGACAAGGTCTTTCGCTGTCTGTAGCCGGGTATCCATTTTCACCTTGGTAAAGTGAGGAAAATTCGTATAAAGTGCCTTTCCGAAGGACACAACGTCGGGCCCTTGACGTCAATTGAACCCACGACTGCGAGTCCAAAAGCCTAACCACAAGCCACCGATGCAACATTTTTTGGACCTTTCTTATACTTTCGGAGTTCCGTGGAAGGATTGATGCAAGCCCCATCCATGTCTCTATTCTACTTGAAAATGACCTGATCTTCCTATTGGTGCCGTTTTTAAGATGGCATTTTACAAATTTTGAGTGAAAATTGATCTTTGAAAACTTTGATGCTATTTGTAAAGGCTTTTTATTGAAATCCCAAAGGCCAAAAACGCCAACAGAAACCCTGTTTGAATCTTTATATAGTTTGCCAATGAAAAGATGGTATTTAATCGTCAATTTTTCTGCAAAGCATTCAAATCATCTGACCTCACATTCCGACAGTGAGGGACTTCGCTTTCCACGATGATTCTCCAGCTCGGAATACACAAACAACATACACTATTGTCACGAGGAAAAGCTGAAATTTTTCATGATGTACATCATTAGGTTCTTTAATAGCAAAAGAGCAAAGAAACAGTGATTCGAATTACCTGGATTTAACCAAAACCGTGTTTATGCTACCTACTCAATGCTGTTCGGCTTTTTAAAAGAGTCGTTATTACAGGAGAAAATTCTCTGAGAAGTACAGCATAACACATAGGCAAACGTTTTAAGTAAGTTGTTCAGGAAAAAGCTATAAAAAAAAGTAAAGGCTTACGCACATCAAGCGGACTATTACTGTACATGTTGGGAAGGACGGACATTAGCCTTGGGTCAACATTTGCAACATTTCGCTACCTCAAAATTACAAAGTTTTATCTGACATTTTTGGTTGTTTTGAGTTACAACAAAAAAGACCATTCAAGAGACAGAAACGAAATGTTCTATCAAAATGAGGTCTATTTGATATCATTAACAAGATTTTCAAAGAATTGCATTCGAAAAAGCTTGGCATGTTGTAAAAATCAAAATTTTTTACGTCAAATTACTCAAAACTGTATCTAGGTACCGAGCAGATAGAAGAGCTTTGAGATTCTAAGGTAGAGATTTGTCAATACTGAGCCAATAGGTTGGTGCTTGGTCCTGGAAGTTTTGGTATAAAATCATTAGTTAAACTGTCCAGGGTATGGTTTAGTTTTAGTAGAGGTTTTACGGCGATAGCAACTGTATAAGGTCATATGAGCGCCAAGGGGTGGATGTCAACAGAAAAGTCCTTACAGGGAATCTGACTTACTCTGCTCACCTCTCTAGCTTTAACAGCACAAAGTCTGCTTCGACTATCAAGGCACCCCGGACATAGCGGGTCACAAGAATGTGACAAAGATACAAAAGAAGTAGAGAAAAAAATGACAATAGTAAGGATTAGGAAAGAAAAAGCCGCAGTTCCCTGTTGTAGATCAGGCACAGTAATGAGCATGACATCGATGAATCATTCCATTTAGAATTCTACTGTGCATGAACGAGATATGTCCCCCCCTTTGGGAATGGCCTAACGACACTTCAGTCAGTGGCACCGCCCCGGGGGGTAGTCCAGGGTATTATATTTCTATGGACACATAAAGTTCAAAGTTGAAAGGGTAGGCCCTACTACTTAAGAATGTGGGTCCCGTCTGTCAAGACTTCGCATCATCCACACAGAATACTGGATATCGATATACTGAATTAACTATTCTGTAGGCCTATCGATGTTTTATCAGCAGATCAAAGATCGTACATAACAAGACTGTTCACTCAACCAAAAAAGTGTCCGTGGAAGTCTGCGCACTGCAGTCTTTGTTTTGAAGCTCTCTTTCGTTTCTCCAGAAGAAGAACAAGAACAGCAGAGTTTGTTAGTATCACTTTTGTTGTTTTTCACACAAGTTGGGTAGATCTAACTCTGCAAAGTCAGCTCTTTTTCGAAGAGGGTGCCACCGAATTTTGAGGACACTTTTTTAATTGGCTCAAAAAGAGGAATGAACTATCTTGTTATAGTTGTAGCCTACACGATCTCTGAGTGGATCTAGAATCTAGCCAGGCTACAAAATGAGCAGTATTTAACAAGGTGGTGATCTTGTAGTTCCGTTCGTTAAAGTCCACGATCCATTTATTTACATCCAGAGAAGAAATCCAGAAGTCTTGATGACCAAATACTATTTGAAATAGGCTACACAAAGAGTAGGGATGCAACCTAACTGCAAAACATCAAATTAGGTTAAATTCAGGGGGGCATGCCCCCCTGAACCCCCCCAACTCCATATTATTATTAGGTCAGTGGGGCACCCCCCCCCCCCCCCTGAAAACCCCTACTCTTGACTTTAACGAACGAAACTACAAAATCGCCAACAAGGCAGGGGGGGGGGGGGGGGTCACAGGGACATGCCCCCCCCTGAATTTGACCATAATTTGATGTTTTGCAATTAGATCTAGATCTAAATCTAGATCTAGACTAGATTCTAGATCTAGACTTAGATCTAGATCTATGTTTGATAGGCTACGGCCTATCTCTCGGATCGGCATTCGTAATCATAATTTAGAACCAGAAGTAATAGTCGGGGTCAAAAACAGATTAGAATCCCCAAAAGGGACCCACATTCTTAAGTAGTACCGTTGAAAGACTACTGTTATTATGAGAAATACGATAAGACCAGAACATACCCTCTCTCCAGTCAAAGTCTTGTATGCCAAGGCAGCACTCAAAACCAGTGTTGTTGTGACTAAAGCCACGGTGCCAGAGCTGAGGTCTGCTAGTCCAAGAGACTCTTGGATGCTCTCAAATGCAGCGTCTGCAAACATCTTGCTGAAGAATTAAGTTGAATAAGACAAGAGCATATACCTTGCTCTTTATTTTACTTTACCACACAGCTAACAAGTCACCGTTCAAACACATCTAATGCTTTCTCTGTCCAAAGGACTTTGAAAAGTATTCATCGGGCGAGCCTTTAGGGCCGGTGCGTGCCTGACAACAAGTTCCTAATGGCGGAAGTTATTGAGCGGAACAGCTGATGTTGAAGAAAATAGTTCCAACTTGTGTTAAAGTAAGAAGAAACTAGACCTAAAAATGTCATTTACGCCCAATTTATCATATTTTAATCGAAACCATAGCTATATGAATGCAATGACTATTTTGAAAAAAGCAAAACCATCCATTACTTGAAATTGTATTCATGCACCATCCAATCGGCCGATATGACGTCACTATTTTCGCTTTTGCAGTACTGTCTCGTATTCGACGTGTTCGGTTTTTAGTAGTTCTCCACCACTATAAGATTATGAAAGTGTTGGATATATAATGCATGTACATAATAAAATAAAAATAAAACCAGGCAAAGAAAAACTTCTAAGTTGCCATATCAGTGTCACATAAGACTTCCATATACCCTACATCTCTCCTTTCATCGTTTCTAGGACATCCACAAGAATTTATGGTTAACTACGTGACGGTGATCGAACTCCGCCCCTAGATTAATTTTTAAAATACTTTAACCCCCCCCCCCCCCCCCGAAAAAAACCAACTACAAAAACTAAGATAAAATGAACCTGGATTTAACGAAAATTCGGATTCAACTAAAAACAACAACGAATTTCCCGATTAAATTGATCAAGATTAACAAAGTGACGCAGTTTTAGCAAACACGTAAATTATGAGCGAATTCGGATTCAACGAAGTAGTTTGCACGGTAACCAGCCTACGCTATATGACTTAAATTTGCGCATTTTTCTGCTTTTGCAACAAACCTAATTTTCTCTAGATCTAGATCTATTCTTGCGTGGATCATTACAAAGTACAAGCTTAGCATGTTGCGTACTTCTTATGTGACCAATCAGATGCCTTTTTTAACACCATGGTAGGCTACCAACACACACGTTGCTGACACGCACGTAAGACACGACGTGTCAGGGTCGGGAGAGGTCGGAAGGGCGGCCAGTTACGTGCGCTGTGTGTGGAATGGTCATGGGGCACTAGCGTTGTGGGCGTGGAACGTCAGTAGAGACAAAAATACGCCAAGATCACATTTTCTCCTATTAGTTACCTACTGTCCAGTATAGCTTATAATGATTAGTTAGCCTAGACAGAGATCTAAGTGATGAGTTGAGCGCTGGTCTGTGAAGTCAAACGTTGCTGTACGCAGGCGCTACACCGCAATGCAACTTGATGCCGCATTGCTACGAAAACTCGAATTCAACGAAATTAAAGGTCAGGCTTGGTTATAATATATGCTATATTATAGTACTCTGCTCAGCCTAGGGTGCCATTGCTTTGGAGAAAGGAAAATGCGGGATCTTAAGCGAACGGGATTTAAGCCAGCGTACCGAGGGGGAGAATCCATGGTGACCCATTGTCAGGCCCACAATCGGTAAAAGGATTTTCTCTTACTCTGAGATATACTGATGTGACTCCTGGGTGGGGTTATGACTTATGGAGAGCAAAGAGAGGAGTTGAGTCGGCATGGAAGAAGGAAGTGTTGTGTGAGCGAGGATCGCTAGGGCTGGAATGTGGCCACCTGTGGAGTAGTCCATATTTGGTAGGGCGGTACCTTAGAATTGGACAGACGTTTTTGTTTCCAACCTGAGAGTGGTGCCAGTTCAAAGTCGGTGTTGAGAGATCTGTGCGCGTGCTTGTTGGTCGGCCGGGAGACCGAGGGTGTCACAAGTTAGGGTACTCGGGTGGTGGAGCACCCTAAAGCTGTTCCCCCTTCTCGGGGTTACCCTGTTAAGCCTAGACATTGCGGTCCAGGAACAGAATATGAATGATCTAAAGGAGAAAACATTGATAAAAAAATCCCCGAAGCCAAATGAGGTCCAGGGTGGAATCCAGGAGCACGACCTGTCGACAGCATCCCCAAGTATCCGTGGAGGACATGGACCCAAGCTTACGGTGTCATCTTCGTGCCTAGAAGCTGCATGGCTGTGGGGAGTACAGTCACGAACGAGGACCGTCTGGCGTGCGAGCGGGGCGGCCCCAGGCGGACGGACCTTCTGGTTCCCAGCCCCTTGTCTAGTATGAGGCTCTGCTAGATGGACAGGATACTTCCTCAGTATGTTGCAAACCCAAAATGAAAGATCTAATTAAAATTAATAAACAGGGTTGTCGCAGGAGCTACGGTGTTCGTGCTCCTTGCTCGAGCTCCTCTTCAAGAACAAAACCAAAAAGGAAACGGGGAAAAAGGGGTGGGAGGTGGAGAAAGAGAAGGACGGGAGCTAGAAAGACACAGCTAAAGAGTCAGCGGTTGGGAAAGAGTAATCTTCGGATTCTCTACTGGAATTGTCGCAGTCTGCAGCAGAGAGGGCTCGTGGCTGAAACCCTATGTTACGGAGCAGACATCATATGCCTCCAAGAAACCAGACTAGGTGACAGGAACTTCAATGTTGCCGACTTTGCAACGACTCTTTACAACAGGGAAGGGCATGGACAGGTCACCCTGATACGATCAGCAATCAGACATCAGGAATTGGTTATGAGCCGATGGGCGTCAGAAAACCTACATCTGCTTGCAGTGGAGCTCACTGATCAGCCTGTAAGAAATGTTGTCAACGTCTACGCTTGCAACGGGATAGTCACTGAGGAAGAGTGGGCCAAACTTGGCGAGATGGAGGAAACACTACCTGGAAAAACAATCTTTTGTGGCGACTTCAACGCGCGAGGGAGTGATTGGGGAAACACAGTGATAAACCCCCAAGGGACGAGACTGGAAAATGCCCTGGACAGATGTGACCTCACCTGCATCAACAATGGCAGCATGACCAGACTAAGCACAAGAGATGGGGACTCAGACAGTGCTATAGACTTTGCACTCGTCTCGGTAGACCTAACAACAGACTGTACATGGAGAGTATTACACAACTATAGCAGCGATCATATCAAATGCACAGTGTTTGTAAAGCGAGGAAGAAACAGCAACCATCAAAGACAGAAACGAGTCTTCTTCTACCCCGCGGAAGGCAACGACCCCATCAATGTACTACGAAAAAGCTCCAGGCCACCCAGAATACAGCATAGAGTAGTGGCACAGCAGCCACCCTGGTGGAATGAAGAGGCTGAGGCATTGTGGAAGATCAAACGCCTGGCGCTGAGAAGACACCAGAGGGACAGATCAAACGTGCAGGTGAAAGCTGAGAAAAAGCTAGCAGATCTCAGATTCGATGAGGCAGCAAAAGAAGGCAAGGACCTAGCATATGACAACTTCTGTCGGGGCGTGAACAGTGACAGGGCCCTGTATCAGTTCTGGAACTTCTACAGGTGCATAACTAATAGGAAGAGCAAATAAGCTATTCCTGATTTCCAACGAGAGGATGATTTGTGGATGCGCACTGATGAAGAAAAAGGCCGTGTTCTGTTTAGGAGATACCTTAGACAAACTGACAGGAAAGACGAGGATAAGAGAAAACAGCTGCTCAACAGGATCCAACAGGACTACAAAGATGAACCCTGTCTGCAATTTGTGACACACAGAATATTACATAAATATATCCAGGAAGCACCCAACACTTCTCCTGGTCCTGACGGAGTACGTTATGGCCACATGAAGAACATGGGGGAAGGACAGACAATGGCACTAGCTGAGAGGCTAAACGAAAGCCTGTGGACTGGGGAGATACCTTAAGACTGGCTGGACAGTCACCTGTCCCCAGTTCCTAAGCCAGACAAGGACCCACGCAAGATTGCCTCATATCGCATAATGACCTTGCAAAATGCCGTCGGGAAGCTGCTGGAGAAAATCGTGGCACGCAGATTGGCAATAGAGCTGGAGGAAAAGAACGTCCTACCGCCGAAACTGGGCAGCTATAGAAGAGGAAAGATCACATGGATGAATGCTGCTACTCTTGCATCTGACGTATATGATGGCTTCGAACGGGGGGAAGAGACTCTGGTAGCAGCACTTGACCTGGAAGATGCCTACAACCGAGTTCAGTACGACACCCTCATGAGGACTCTAGTCAACCTGAAGGTAGATTCACATTTAGTACCATGGATTGGGGCAGCGCTGCTCAAACAAAAGGTAGCCCTACGTCTTGGTTGCTGGGCTTCGCAACCTATCGAGATCACACCAGGCTTACCACAGGGATCTGCACTCTCGTCAGTTCTGTTCAACGTTTATACAATAGGGATTAATTCCAACCAGCTGGAGGGGCCCGGACGTGTGTTCAGTTTTGCTGATGATGTGCTAATGTACAGGCAGGGCAAGAACCGCCAGGTTACAGCGGATAGAGTACAGGAAGAACTCGACAGACTTGAACAGTGGTGTGAGGCGTACAACAGGAGACTGCACCCAGACAAATCCTGTGCACTGTGGTGTACACTGAATAACCATGCAGTGCACGATCACATGACAGGTATCTCGATTGGAGGCAAAGTGCTGAAGAGGGAACCCACACTGAAGTATCGGGCATCACGTTTGATCGCACCCTCTCTGGCAAAGATCACATCACGAGAACAATCTCCAGGGCGAGAAAAGGCCTAACAGCCCTTAAGATGATGGCCAGAGCTAAGATGGCCCAGAAAATCCTTGTCATCCTCTACCAGACACTGGTACTCTCTGTCGTAGAGTACGGGCTCAACTCTTGACCCTATCAAAGGCGCAACTGCAACGACTCGAGGTGTTACAAAATGAAGGAATGAGGGCAATCCTGGGGTGCACACGAGATACCTCAACTGAAGCAATGAGATACTTCCTAGACTTCCCATGTGCAGACGAGAGGCACAAACTGGCACAAGTCCAAGCCTTTCTGCGAGTCAGCGTAGACTAGACGAACCCTCTACATAAGAAAGTGGGACAGCAGATGACATCAAGGCTAAAGAGGGGCACAGAATGGATGACTCAAGCCACGAACACCATCGACGAGTGCTGCCAAATACAAGACATTAGGAGAGGCAGGGATTGGGTTGTGGTCGATGATGCGCTCGGGGAGTACACAACAGTGAAGGCAAATTGGGTAGAGAATGTCGCAACTGGCCACTTGGAGCTACAAACGCTGAAATTGAAACCCTG